CATCAAAAGATGAGACTTTCTTCTGATGTTTCTAGCTTGGAAACAGCTTTAAGAATCCGCCGTGAAGAATTACAGGAGATGGAAGAAAGAGCCGAAGGTCTTGAGAGACGCATCCTTGAGGGAGTCATTGATCATTCTCGAGCTCTTTTATTGGCGAATGGTAATCGAAAGAAAGCACGAGATCCCATGAGTCGTAAACGAAACCCTGCTCAACGCAATTCAACGGCTCATTCTATCGCCTCGAGTGTCGCTTCAAAAACTCCATCGATTACACAAGGTGCTGTTAATATGGCAATGAAGAATCGCTCTCCTACCAAAGGACCTCAAGCCAATCAGGCACAAAGACGCATTCTTTCCCTGAGTCAAATTAACAATAATCTTTCAACTGGTAATTTCAAACGCACTCACAGTGTCAAACAACCCAGTGCTTCTAATCCACGTAAAACTAGCTGGGGAGGAGACTCAAACAAAACTAGCAATTATGGGGAACTGAACAAGGAGAATCTGGCATTGAAAGAGTACGAAGATGAGGATGAAGAAAACAAAGAACTAGTCCATCTTTCTGATCACGAGGGCGGAAATCAAAGCGATTCAAACACGATGAGGAGAAGCAGCCATGGTACTACTGTTATCACTGGAAATGAAGGAACAGAGTATTCGGAGAGTCTTGATGGTGGTGGAAGAGATCGAGATGAGGATAGAGATGGGGAGGAGGGATCAGAATCGGATTATGAAACAGAAACAGACTTGGGAACTAATAGTCATTTGGGTACCGAAAGTGAATTGTCGAGTAGTAGTTTGGGACATGGAAAGGGAAAGGACTATAATGCGGTGGTATTGTATGAAGAGGAAGTTGTTTAGTTCATTGGTCATTGGAGATGAGGGAATTGATATGGAGAGTATTGGATTTTATGGAGAGGCTTCTCGTAAGCTACAAATTTATGCGGTAATGGTCTAATTCTTGTATCTTTCTTGACCCACTTACTCGCCTTGGGAAACGGAGGAAGGGGTGGCTTTTTTTTCGTCACAAAGCAGGGGATTACGACAGAACCTACAATATACCCTAGTATGTCGGTTTCTTGATGAAGTCCTGATTCAAGTTTATGACTGTTACATTTTTTTCTTTTCTATGAACAGCGTTTTAGCGATTAGTATATTTTATATCCTTTTGGTTGTGGTATTTTCAATTTCAAAGATTCCCTTGCGAAGGCGGTATTCTAGGTATTTAGATTAGTAGTATTACAAGTACAACTTTTCTCTTCTCATAACTTCTCTCTTGGTATCATTCATTGCATGCATTGTGAGTAGAGAAGTGAATCCGTCGCCATCAGTATCTTAAATACTAACATAATTACTCGCATCGACATAAAACCACCCATACTACCATTCTGAAGTTACTCCCTCTTCAAAACTTTCCTCCCCGCCATCCATGGCCACAAAACTTCGGGCACCCTGACCTCTCTCCTCTTCTCATCCCATCCATTCTCTAAGATAGCAGCCACGATCCTCGGCACCGCAAGCGCCGTCCCATTAACCGTCCACGGAAATGCAATTTTCCCTCCATTCTTATCAATATCAACTCTCGTCGCCAATCTCCTACTTTGATAATCCCCACAGATACTTAAGGATGTCACTTCGCCCCATCCATTATCTCTTTCTCTGCGCGAGGGAAAGAAGGCTTCGATATCTATTTTGCGCATAGCTGAGGCACCGAGATCGGTAGAGGGCATTTCGAGGATCCGACAGTGAAGACCGAGGGAGGTGAGGATGGTGGTTTGGAGGGAGAGCATTTCGTTGAATATTTCTGTGGTTTCTGGGAGGGAAGGAGAGGTCCAGGCGAACATTTCGACTTTGGTGAATTCGTGAACTCGGTAGAGACCTTTGGTGTCGATACCACGGGCGCCAGCTTCGGCGCGATAACAGCGGGACGTGGCGATTGTTTTCAAGGGAAGGAGAGATTCGTGGATAGTCGTGTTTGCTTTCATTCCCGCGAGAGGGATTTCGGCGGTTCCAGCGAGGGAGTATGTTGGTTTTGCAGTTTCGGCATCGGAAGGGGATTGGGCGATGGAGTAAATTTGTTGTTCGTCTGATTGATCGCGGGGTTGGAAACCGCATGCTGATGCGATGTGGGAATAGACCATTGAGGGAGGAGAAACGATGGACCAGCCTTTTGAGAGAGCGAGAGAGAGGGAATATTGGATCAAGGCTTGTTCGAGGAGTGCGGCGCCATTAAGTAAATAATACCATCCCCAACCGGAAGTATTTGCTGCAGAGGAGAAGTCAAGGAGATTCAATTCGCTACCTATGTGGACGTGAGACCGCCATACTCGATCTGAGGAGGCGGCTTTGGGTTCGGGATGTTCGTTGATGGTTCCTATTACTTTTGGTTCTGAGCCGCGGGGAGTGGAATCGGATGTAAGATTTGGAATTGCAGATGCGAGAGTATTGATTTCTGTCATGAGCATCGATTCTGAAGATTCTATTTCGGAGATTTTATCCTTCAAACTTCTAGCTTCTGCGATAATCTCCTCTTTGGAAAGGGCGCGTAACTTTTGAATTTCTTCTGACCCGTCATCTCGTATTGATTTTGGATTTGCAAGTTGGAGTTTTAATTTATTATTTCTTTCTCGTAATGCTCTTCCATCGCGTTGATGTTCGTGCCATTGTTCGAATAAACTTATGATTTTAGCTGGGTATGTTGATTGCACTTTGTAATTCCTTTCTAGACAACTTTTTTCATACAACTCTGGATTGGTTCGTATGTGTTTTATATCGATGGATTGTTTGGGTGCTATAGAGGGTTTAGGTATTTCGGAACGTAAACGTGGAGAGACATGGTATGAACGACGAGGAGATGGTCGCAAGAGGGATTGAAATTGACATCGTAAACACGTAAAACGGTTTACCGTTGACATTTTGGATATTGAGGGGGAAAGGATGGTGGGATGATATTATTTTTTGGAAGCTTAGAGCTAGCTGTTGAAACTAAGAATATGAGCTGAGCTTATTATTGGGTGAATCTAAAATGCGGGGTTCCGTCGGTCAAACGATTTTCCGACCCCTTCGCCAAAAAAGTTGCAACCAACACCAAAAAAACAGACCAGATGGGACTTCAGATTCAAAAAAGGATAACAAAACAACGAAATGTCCAAAAATTGATTTTAAGATCGGATTCAAACCGATTGAACTCAGGGTTACTCCCTACGTAGGGCTCGAACCTACAGCCTCAAGATTAGTCATCAATATAAGATATTTGATAGAAGTCTTGCGCGCTACCATTGCGCCAGCAGGGAAATCAGAAGATTTCTTTGTAGATTGTTGAGGAAGCCTGCCTAATTTTAATATATTACCCACAATACATTGGCTCGCGTATCAAAAGCCGGGGGTTTCATGCCCCTCATTAAATGACAGTAGTAAAACTTGCTTCAGACTACGAGTATAATCTTTCAATAATCTCACTCGAAAATACAAGTCTAAACGACCATTACATCTTCAAGTTACAATTGTATATCGACAGATCTCATGTGAATCCATCGCTGGAGCATTATTTAACTACTAATATTGAGTCGAAACATCAAGAAATAACATAAGGCCTACTAAGTGAGTGTATTCGATTTTATTATCCCGACGATAGCTTCACTCATGAACTAGACACTTACAAATGAATTACAGAGAAAAAGCCCATACAGTCTAAAAAATCATACACATCTAAATCAAAATATGATATAATTATCTAAATAATTCTTCGAATTTTTCTAAAAAAAAAATGATTAGCTTTCTACTATTGCTTTCCTATTCATTTGAAATTAGCATAGTAAATTTCACACCTGAAATAAATCATCACATTATTTAGATAATACTTCTTGAGGTTTCTTTCGACCATTTCTTTATACTCAAGTGCCTCCCGACTGCGGAGGAAAGCGACGTTCGAACTGAGTATGTTTTCGATCAACCTCACTCTGATCGATGTGTCGGCACACGTCTTATGCTGAAGCTCTAGCTATATTTCGAGGCTCCACATATAGTTACCATGGTACTCATTGTTCACCAAGCATCACTTCAAGACCAAGTCAAGTAACATGGAATTAAATGCTTTACATGAGTGGACTATGAAACTGCGAGAAGACGGAAGTTTATTGAACCATTGTTTCGCGTACTTTATCGCTCTTAAAGTAGCCATTCGACGGAGTTTCAATACTGTGTTCCTTTTACGAAAAAGGTAAAGAAAATGTAAATAAAGGATGAATTCGCGCCGTAAAGGCTACAACGACATGTAGAAATGGTCAGAGGGCGGATACAGGATTAGAGGAGGTGTAGGGGGAGTGCGAGAGAAGAGGATAGACGATCCCAAGGAGGGCCAGGAGGACCATGAGGAGAGATCTCAAAGAGAAGAGGGGAGGTCGGGACGTACTGTAGGTCTCCTTCTCTGAAAATTTGCTATGTCTCTGTCAAGCGCAAGGGATACAATTTGCGGCATTGAAATGATTTTTGCATTATATTTGAGTACCACAAGCTTGTTGTTATTCAACCTCCATATTCCTTTGATCCCTCTCTCTCTTGCATTTATCGATTACAATATTCACAAGAGACGTTGGTCATATACCTCTCTATTTTTCTGAGTGCGGAGACCGAAGAGAGATTTGTAGTACATTCAAATTATAATTTGGTATCTTTTGATATTGCATGTTCTATCTCATGAATGCTTGAAGTCATGCTTTGGATGAAGTGAGGTTGAATTCGGCTTAGACCAATACCCAACTACCCGTGGACCTACCTGATAGTAATACGGATTCCGACACGCTTCACTTGTCATATTCAACTTCACCATCACATCATAGAGTTTCTCAACTTCTGAGTTTTCACATGGGGAGCAGGGACATCTTCATCAATATCGCGAATACAATAAAAAGAAGCAGAAGTAGAAGTATTTACCGACGATTACCACATAATAAGTATCTTCATTGAATAACGAAAGCCAGACTCAGTAATCACACTTCAATCTACAACGAAGAACCTTCAGTACTCGGTCTATCACCAGAGTTTTTCTCAACCAAGGACTACAATTTTTCAATATACTACCCGCATAAATCTCTTGCTCCTTTGATTTAAAATACACATATGCTTTACCAACAGTCTGGCAGGCTTCATCAGTATCATAGCTCGATCTCACAAACTCATCCATCTCTTTTTTCAACCCAGAGACCATAACTGAGGAATTTTCGAATGAGGTTTCAATATCAGCTTTTACTTGTAAGGCCTGGTTGAAGAGTCGACGTATTTCTTCACGTGCCACAGCCGATTCACCTAATCTGACAGCGGTGATATCTTTATCAGAGTTCCCAATATTGTCATATGCATAGATGCTTGTAGTCCCTGGAGCATGCGTTGCAAGCTCTCTTGCTTCCTCGGTCCCTTCGTTTTGTCGTGTTTCAATAATTGCGGTCCTCCTGAATGAATACATAGTGAAGCGCTGAACAAAACCAAGCGTGAGAAGCGTGGTACTCAAGCGGGGATTTAAAGCGGCCGTCTTCATTGCCTTGGCCTCAAAAAGACTATCCCCCTTTGTACTTTGCAATAATATGAGATGAGCGTTAATGCGGTCTACCTTTGGTAGCTGGAATGTCTTGCATAAATGCAACGATTCAATGGTAGGAAATTCGGGGCCAAACGAGCCGCGTTGGAAGGCTAATCCAGTGAGAATAAATGCGAGGTCTAAGTGGTACCGAGTTGTCTTGGTTGGAAGGAATGTAAAAGTTCTTTGTGGATCAAATCTCATCTTTCCATGTGGGTCGCGGTATCCTTTAATGTATCTGAAAAGCAGTCTAACTGCGATACCTACAAGATATGTTAGTACCATCGACCAAAGTGGCTCAGTATAATAGACCAACTTACCTCGGTTGCCAGGAGTAATATAAAAATCTACATCACTCCATCTCAATGTTTCGTCCACAAGGATGTTTTGTTCTGGGTCTGTGATGAGGAAGTAATATTCCGGTGTCAAGCATAATGTTCAACTGGTAGCGAATGTTCCTATCCAACAACCCATCTCGGGCTTCACAAACGACCTGAGAAAATCGAAGGTAGGCATTGAACGATAAGTTACCTACCCTCTTATCGGGATGGTAAAGCTTCAATAGTTCTTTGCACACATGGGTTATATCGTCGGTGGTCGCACCGCGAGCGATCCCCAATTTCTGGTAATAATTGTGAGAAATAACGGGGGCTATCCTATTCAGATGTTAGTAACCAAGGTAGCTTGGTTGTGATAATTGATCTCACTTGTTGGTTTGCTGCGCGAAGGCGACAGCTTCCTTCCTACCGGGGGTCCTTGGTTGCTTCGTGGATGTTGTTGTTTTTTCTAAAAGAAAAAAACCGAGTTTGTGGGTATTTCTGTAAAGTGATCTTGGTTAGCGCGAATTTGAGATTTCGGAAGCGAACTATAATGAAGTTGAAGATGAGAAGGAGTGAAGGTGAGGTGTTGGAGAGGAGCTCCGGTCCCGTGACCCTTGGTATAGCAAATATCTCCAAGGGTCACGGGATTGCGCGACATTGATCCCTCCCCCAGGTATGTTATCTTAATGTTTATAATAATGAGCGGATATTTTATTAGAAAAACTTATTAGAAAAACTTATTAGAAAAACTTATTAGAAAAACTTATTAGAAAAACTTATTAGAAAAACTTATTAGAAAAACTTATTAAAAAATTTATCAGAAAAACTTATTAGAAAAACTTATATCTTTATCTATATTACTTTTTGTGTGAATAAGGGAATTCATTCAAAGGAATTCACTTCAAAGGATTCACTTCAATACAAAGGCAACTGTATTAAGGTTATTAGGCGAAAGCGAAGAAAACTAACTCTTTCAATAGTGCCTATATAAGGCCTACTATTTCCCTCATTTAGCTAGCTTCTCAGATTGAATATAAATAAATATTTAGAGGCCTATATATAATAGGAACCATATCTTTCATATCTTTTTCAAATCAACACTAATTAGTAATATCACAAATTACTTATTTATTCGAAATACCTTTTTACTCTTACTTCTTTTACTTTCATTATAATATCCCGGGCAAACACTAGCACTAGCTTTAAACAAACCGGCAAGAAACCCGAAATTGATAAGAAACCTGATACTGGTAAGAAACTGATTCTATTCGATCAATCTACCAGCATAGGAGAATATATCGATATAATGATTGATAATACTGATCCTCTATAAACAGGTTTCAGTATTTTCTTTTATAAAGATCTGAATTTAATCAATACTTTTTCTTATTCTCATCTTATCGTTCCCCCTAACCCCTATATTCTTTTTGACAAAGTATCAACTAAAGAAAGAAAAGCTTAGAAAACTAAGGATTTGGGGTTCAAAGAAGAACTTCAGGATTATACTTTTTCAAAGGATTTTAATAAAGCTAAACAATTCTATAAAGAATATATATTCAGATTGGGAATAGAATATTATATTAATAAATACTTTCTTTTTAGAAAAACTGTATATTCGGATATGAGGATTACTAATATATCTCTTCAGGATATAGTTATATCTGATTTCGATTATATTTATAAAGGTATACTAAGGAATATTGATAAGCTAATATTATATAACTTTTATATAATTCTATAATGTTATAGAGTTTATATTAATATCAATATAAATATCGAGAATACTTTTATAAAAATATTTGATTGTAACAAATATTATAATTAGATTATAAATCAACTTCTGGAATATTAGTTTATTGAAATATAATTATTTGTATTAACGAAATAGGCTTACTTTTTTATTGGATTCGATTTGAGATTATAAGTCGAATTTTCTGAATCTAAAGATGGTGATATAGTTGGTTAATTAACTTTATCGAAACCTGGTAAAGTTGTAGGTGATATGATAGGAGGATTAGTTTTATTCTAATTTTTATTTCAATTTGGGGATATACGAAATATATCTTTATCAGGTTTTAGAATTCCATTAGTTGATATTCCTATAGGATTATTTAATAACGATGATAGTTCAGATAATAATAATAATAATAATAATGGTCGAAATAATAACGGTGATAGAGGCAATAAAGATAGTAATAGAAGTAATGGTAGAGATGATGAGAATAAGGATTATTATAATTATTTTAATTACTAAAAAGATAATTAATGTAATTAGAATTATTATTTTATTAATCTTTCTAAAATCTATAAAGATGATAATAAGTATAAGAATATTGATAATTCTTTTCAATTAAAGATTTCTATATTTATAGAGTATTGTTATAGAATATTTATATCAATTGAAATAATTCTGGTAGTTTTTTCGATTATATTTTTAGATATAGCTAGAGATTTTTATTAAACTAATCTTAATATTCTTTTTGAGATATATAAGGGTATATATAAAATAATGATTAACAATTTTGAAGGATCTGAATATTAGCGAAATATACTTCTTAAATAGAATAAAATCATTTTCAAGGATTACATTAAAAAGAATCCGATTAAAAAACCTTAGAAAATATTTAATATAATAATTACGGATTTATGCTTTATTCAGTATATTATTCCTAGAAATATATGCGATTTTCAATTATATTATATTAGAATTTTATCTATATGTGATAATATTCCGGAATGCTATTTTGCAATATGTAATCTTTGTTCAACTATTATAAAGCTTATTAACCAAATTAAACAAATTATTGATTTTTATTAAAAAGCATTTTCGAAGTAAAATGTATTATTTGAGATATTTCTTATAAATCGATATTTCTATAATAATAGATCTTTAGATTTCTTTTTTCGAAAATTTTATAATAAATATACTAAACAATAATCTTTCTTTATATTAATTGATAAAAGTAAGGATAATTATTATTTCTTTAATTACAAAAAAAAGGGTTATAGATACTATAAGTATACAAAAGAAAAAAGATTGATTTAAAACGGATTACTATATCAAATATAGTAATCTCGATGATAAGAGTTTTATAAAACAATATAAGCAATTCATTATTGATATTAAATAAAAAAATAATTAAGATAATAATAATAATAACAATAATGATAATAATAATAATTATTTTGTTAATCAATATCTTACTGATATAAGTGATTCTAAAAAGGTTTCCAGGATATTCTTTATCTCCATAAATACTTGTAATAATTCTTTAATAACAATTAATCTCAATAATACTACAAGTGTTTATAAATTGATAGCTGAAATGTTTATTATAAATAATAAGTGATATGGTGTTGATATATTCTTTAATATTATAATTGATATAAGTATAACTGAGAGATTATCTATCAGATATAACTAATATTTGGTATAAAAAAAGATTAAGGATATTGAATATAATATAGCTATTACTGAATAAATAATAATTTAATATAATATTAAAGCAACAATTTCTATCGATTCGTTTTATATTAAGCTTTTATTTAGGGAAATAGAATAGAATATAATAGAAATTAATTTTCTGTTTTTGTTCTTTTTAATCAATATAGATAGATTTAGATTTAAATATAATAATCTTAATAATATTGCTATTATATTTAAAGATATCTATTTTATATATTGATAATTTAACTATACATTTCTATTATAAAACATTAATATTAAAGAATTAATTAGTTATTCTATTAATAATAATAATTACTATCTCACCAAAATTGAATTATAACAAATTCATTATTAATTCGACTATCCATCTGTATACAAATTTTATAAAATACTTAAATATTTTGGGTATAATAAGAACTTTGAAGCGATTAAATAGTTTATTAAGTTTTATTACTATTATCAAATTTATAATAAATTATTTAGCAAATTCAAATTTTTTTTGTTTGATAAAGATTTTAAATTTAATTATATTATATTTGTTGATATACTTTATATTAATAATAATCCAATTCTATATATTATTAATAAAACTATATGTTTTCAAATTGTTTAATAACTAAGTAATATATTTACAAAGTATATATAGAATAAACTTTATAAATATTAAATCGATATATATATTAATCTATCAGAATATATTATTTATAATACTAATATTAATTTTATTGGAAAAGAGTTTCAATAATATATTATATCAATATCTATTTAGATAAAGATAGTTTTTATAAAAATATATTATTCGATTAATATTGTTAAAAGATTTCATATATTATTATACAGATTTTATAAAATTATTTATAAAGAAGTTCATAAACTCGGTATTTATAAGGTAATTATACTTTAGATAGTTGTAAAGACAATTAATGATATTATTGGATCTAATAATTTAGTATCTATTTTACTTATTTTTAAAACATTTCCCTATATAATTGATATTAGCTTTTTAATATTTATTATTTACTAGTATACTGTTGCAATTTCTAAAGTTATAATAAAGATTTGCAGATTATATAATTCTATATAAATATAAAAAGTCTTGAATATATGTAATAGATTCTCTATGATTGTACTTTATGATTTATTATTGAATAATAAGGTTTTGATTTGGAAGAAGAGTAATAGAATAACTATTAATGAATGAAAGGAATCTTTTTTATTTATTAGTATGGAAGGGGAGATATATACTCTTAATTTATTTTATAAATCTATAAGGTTTAGGTTTATATTAGTAAAGCTGTATTATAAGTGATTAGAAACTGGATATATTGAGGAAATTAAGAAAATTGATTATAATATTGATTTCAAAATAATTTTGCCAAAATCTGGTAAAATTATATTATTTCCTTTAAAAATAATAATTACGTATTTAATAAATTCAAAGGAATTTCTTTTAGATTTATCTAAAAATAATCAGATTTTATTTTGATATTTTTTTTATAAATAGTTATATTTCAGATTCGAGTTTATATATAAAATTACTATCTTGAATGTTTTATTATTAATTCTAAAGATTTTATTATATATAAAAAATCTAAAAAAAAAGAAATTAATAAATTAATAACTAAAAATATATTCGAGATTATATTACTTTGAATATTCCTTTTGGTATACATATTTTCAAATCGCAATTTATTGATAAGATTAAAAATAAAGAAATGGATACTAAATTCCACAAATCGAGATTAATCATTTAAGTATATAATAATACTAATAAAACATTTATATTGATATAATTTCCAATAATCCAATAATTATATTAATATATTTTAGTTTTATTAGCTGTGAGTACTCGAAAGATAGGTATAAGAGTGTATATTCAAAATATTACTTAGATATATATTCAATCTACTTTGACCTTGTATTGTACTTTTTATATCTATATTCTGAAAGAATGGATTTATTAATTAATATAATTTACTAATTATTAAATCATTATATAATATTTTTAAAATAGAAAACTATTAATTCCCAAATATATTGTATTTATTATTATAAAAGCTTAAGATATAGTAATTTATATATAATCCTTATCTATTATATATTAATAATAAAGAAACTAGATTATATTATAGGATTTCAAATAGATGATATACTTATTATTAGGGATATACATTTATATAAACTGAGAATAAACAATTCAAGCAAACTAGTTTTATAGTTAAGAATTATAAAGAACTTATTTAGAATTATCCATTAAAATTAATAATATTATTTTTAAATTTAAGGGTAATAATATTCATTTCAACCAAAAAAAGCAATATAATAATTATAGCTTATATTTACTGAATTTATGAATATATATAATATGTATAGTAAGGTTCGGGAAATATATTTCTATATATAAACAATATATTATATATAAGCCTATAAAGTATACATTATAATTTATATATTATCTAAAGTATCTTTTGATTTATTTATAATAATATAAATAATCTAATTCAGTAAGATAAATATTATAAGTATTAAATAAGTATATCAAATAGTAAAAGAAAATGTTTATTAGAGGGCTTAAATATATATTATTTAATCTAGATTTATTTAAGATTATTATTTTGCTGATATCTTTTTTATAACTAATAAGAATTATTTATTTAGAGTAGATTAATATAATTGTAATGATGATAAATATAATAATATTAATATTATGTATTAGTTATTTATTACAATATAAAAAAATTATAATATAATATTTTAATATATCGAATGATATAGTTAATTTAGAAATTCAATATTGAGTATAATAATCATTTTTATAATTAATATTATTTTGGTAAAAAGATTTTATTAATTTTGTATATTAATTTCAAGTTATTATATAATCTATTTATAAAACTAGAAATAATTAATGAAAAAAGACTAATAATTAATATTATAACATTATATCAATTCTATAAATAAAAAAAGATTATTGAAATAATCTGGATTAATAATTCAACTAATCCAATCAATATAATAATAAAAGGAAAGCTATATCAAGCTTTTACTAATCTAATTAATATAAATAAGATTGATATTAAGGTAATAAAGTAGATAGAATAGAATTAAGAAAAAGAATTGGTTTTACTAATAAAAGGTTAGGGACTTTAACTAACAAATAAAGGATATTTATAATTTCACGAATTTTTTTTTTTCTACTATTATATTTGAAATTATAAAAGAGAATTCCAAATATATAAATAAAGGAATTTATTTAAAGAAATTCATTTTAAAGGATTCATTTTAATATAAAAACAACTATATTAAGATTATTAAGCGAAAGCAAAAAAGACTAACTCTTTCAATAGTGCCTATATAAAACCTACTATTTCCCTCATTTAGCTAGCTTCTCAGATTGAATACAAATAGATATTTAGGGGCCTACATATAATGGGAACCACGTTTTCCGTATCTCTCTCAAACCAACACTTTTTCTCTAAATATAAATCTTCAATTCAAATATATATATTAATATTATATTAATAAATTTTATAATAAATAATCCCCTCTTATTATATAAATAAATCTTTAATATTATTTATTCTATATTTAACTTTAGTTGTGAATATATTTCGTTCCCTTTATAAATAAATAGAGAAGCGAAATTATACGATATTAATAGTAAAAAACACTTCTACTAAAATCCTTAAAGACTACTTTCATAGAGCCTTCAAATCCCTATGAAAAGCTACATTTCTCAGTACCTGATTTATGTTTTAACCTTAGGGCGATTGGATAACTATAAACGCGAATAGGAACTGTGCCGCATAATACATTAATCCACTTCACTCCACCCAACCGTGTATAAATCCAACTGTTGGTATGTCAAAAACAGCACATTTACCGCCGATGGACATTTACCAACTGATCAGACCAAATATCGGCTATACCAACCGTTTGTTGTTGGCACTTCATCATGAAATTACAGACTATAGCTCTAGTAGCCCCTAAAAGACATAGCAAGTTGATTGCACATGTTACTTTCCGACTCAAATTTGTAATAAAGTATATACAAAGTCTAACAGCATGGACGAACCATTAATAACCCAGCTACTCAGAGTGGCTGGTGCCATATTGGCTATACTTGTTACTACATTTGTAATAAAACTATATCGAGTGCGGAGTTTCATTCGAGGACTCCAGAAGCAAGGTCTTGTACGTTCTCAAAACCCATTTGGTGATCAACCACCAATCAGCTTTCCATTGAAAGCTAAAACATCAACTAACCGATCTCAAGCCTATGCCACCCCATCATTGGTTACTCGGACACATACCTCTCAGCGCAAGTATCATTGGCAGTCTCCCTCCATACGCCCACGGCGTCTACGTTGGAGACCAAATTCGCCAAAGATATCCCCATCTCGACAGCGCCTTCTACCTCGATAATTGGCCTCTCGCTGCCCCAATTCTCGTCGTGCTTAAGCCGGATATGTTGTACCAACTGACTCAAGCAAATCAAATCCCAAAAGACAAAGGCATTCGTGCATTCCTAAAGCCCTTGACCGGCGAATCTGATTTGGTTACTTTGGAAGGCGATACTTGGAAATACTGGAGAGCTATATTCAATCCTGGATTTAGTGCTGGTCATGTGTCAAGTCTGGTTCCAGGAATGATTGAAGAGATCAAGATATTCAAAGATCTGCTAAAGAAACATGCGAAAAGTGGTAAAATGATATTTCTCGAAGATGCCAGTTTGAACCTTACAATCGATATTATTGGTAGAGTTGCAATGTGAGTGAAGCCTCTTTTTATTCTGGCAGGGCTATCCTATATCGCCAACTAGCATACCTGATGTATGCTCTCAATCTCTGGAAGCAGTATAACGCCCAAACGGATTCATAAACTTAGACGTATTGAATGTCCTAGTTGAATTCAGAAATCGAAAGCTTCTGGTTATCGGAATACAATCCAGACTACCAAGAACGCCACTTTCCGAACATTGACTGATGCAAATACTCTTTACCAGGGACCACAGATTCTGCAGCCAAACTAGCTACAACGACATGACAGCAGCATTGCGAAGGCAACTGTTATGGTGCACGACAGGCATGAACATTAATCTTTTGGAATACATCAATATCTTTCGCCCTTTTGTGCACGCATACAATAGCTACCGAATGAACCGTTACTTGTCTCGAGAACTCGACAAACGCTATCGAAACATCAAAGGCACTGAGATACAGAAAAAAGACAAATCGATTGTGGATTTAGCGTTAAAAGCGTATCTCGCGGAGAATCCTTCAGCAACAGGTATCGATAAAAGTTTTCAGAATTTCGCCATGGCGCAAATAAAATTATTCATCTTTGCTGGCCATGACACCACCTCTGCTGGTGCAATCTTTACATATCATCTGCTCTCCCAACATCCAAATGCATTGGAAAAAGTCCGGGCAGAGCACACCGAAGTACTAGGGGCCAACATTGCGGATGCTGAGTCTGTTATTACTTCCAAGCCACAACTCTTGAACCAGCTTACTTATACCATTGCGGTTATCAAAGAGAGTCTCCGCATCTACCCCACTGTCGCCGCGCTTCGCGATGGACAATCTTATTTCTCTTTGATAGGGGACAATGGCCTTCGTTTCCCCACCGAGAGAACAATAGTCTGGGGCGATCATTATGCCACACATCATAATCCTGCCCACTGGCCGCGAGCCGAAGAGTTTCTTCCAGAACGATGGATCGTAGCCGAAGGCGACGAGCTCTATCCGCCCAAAAATGGATGGCGACCATTTGAGCGCGGTCCTCGGAATTGTATTGGCCAGGAAGTAGCCATGACGGAAATAAAACTCATGCTTGCATTGACCATTCGAGATTTTGATTTCAAGGATGCTTACGAGGAGTATGATGACATGAAGGGCAACCCAAAGGGTTTGAATGTAAATGGTCAAAGAGCATACATGATGCTTCGGGGAGGCGGCCATCCGGCAGATCATTATCCATGCAAGGTAGCTTTCGCAAAGCAAAAGTAATCCGGCTGGAGGGAATAAATTGCATTATTGGACCGATCAGGATATCCTGCGATTTGACAATTTTGCAAGTAATAGTGGTATAAAACGAGGTTATGACCCTCTCAACTTATGGGTATCTATATGAAGACAAAAATCAAGATTGAAGAGTAACAACTCATAATCCCAAACTTTGGGTGATATCAAATTCTATGAAAGATGATTGATGGTCAGGCTAAACCCAATGTGCTATGTGCTATGGTATCATGTCCTACTCCGATTCGCCAACTTCTTGTCTCCCATCTCCTCTATCTCTTTCTTCTTATGATAATGTGGTGCAAGCTCATACAACCAATTTGCTTTGATGGGAATGCAACTGCGCATGTACTCCTTTGTAGTTTGTACAAGTTCATGATAAACAACTAACTTGATAGGAGGATCATTTGCCATCAATACTGACGAAGGATGTATGTACACTGTAGTATTTCTCTTGACCGTCCGATAACTATCTCCATCCCGTTGTAATCGTGCTGCATTAGCGAAAAATCCGGCCGTAATCGCTTTCTGAATAGGCTCCAGATTTGACGCTCCGCAACTAGCGATCGTAACTTCCACGCGTTCACAAAGCTTTGCAAGTTGATCTCGAACATCTCTAGCTCGAGTGAGGGAACGTTGCTGAAGAAAGTTCTCTTTTGCCCAGATAGTACTGAAATCATTGTCCACCCATTGATTCCAAATGTTCAAATAGGTGAGGTGGTCCCCTCCTTCTTTGATCGTGAAACGCGCTCTAGCACTATCTGCGTGCACTCTCTGTTCTCCTTTGGGACGGAAAAATAGTGCCGAACTTTCACCTAACATTGCCATGATGCTCAATACTTCGTCAGAGCATGCCAGTTGGTCTGAAGCAATGATGGACTTCGCAACTTGAGGATCTGTTGGGAATTCGGCCATTTGTCTCCCAATTTTGGTTAGTTCTCCACGGTTGTTTAATGCAGACAACGCGTACAGTTGATTGAGGGCACCAATTAGGGTTTCTGTTGGTGGAGGGTCCATAAAGTCAAAGGTCAAGAGATCGTTAATTCCAAGTGACTTAAGCAGTAGAACTGTACCATTCAGGTTTGTTCGCTGAATTTCAGGAGTAGTACTTTCTTCCATTTCATTCATAAACGCCCATTTTGTGTACAAGCGAAAGCACTTTCCGGGTCCTACACGACCAGCACGACCACTTCTTTGATTTGCAGACGCTCGTGAACATGCTACTGTAACCAACTTCGACATTCCAGTCGCTGGGTTATAGATATTCTCCTTTACAAACCCTGGATCGATAACATAAACAATGCCGTCAATGGTCAAACTCGTCTCTGCAATATTGGTTGCCAAAACAACTTTTCGTGCTCCTTTAGGTGTTGGTTCGAAAATTTTGGTTTGGAGATCGGTTGGAAGATTTGCGTAAATAGGACAAATAACGAGCTCAGGCACTCTCGAACCCAATTTCTTTGAGATATCACTTATTCGTTCTTCCGCTGCCTCAATCTCATCTTGACCTGTTAAAAATATCAGCACATCACCACTTGGTTGAGAGGTATGTATCTGAAAAAGTGTAGTAATGGCAGCAGCAAGATAATTAGCTTCTGGCTGTGGGGTATTATAAATTTCGACTGGATAACTACGTCCTTTGACATTGAAGATAGGAGCGCCATCGAAGAAGTCTGAGAAAGCCTGTGCATTAATTGTCGCGGAAGCAATCAGAAGTTTAATTGTTGGCCTCTCTTTGGCAAGATCCTTGAGCAAAGCTAGAAGTATGTCGGTATGCACAGTCCGTTCGTGAGCTTCATCAATCATAATCACCTGATACTCGTCTAGAGAAGGTGTAATCATGACCTCTTTCAAAAGATGACCATCCGTCATATATTTGATGAGAGTTTTATCACTTGTACAATCTTCAAAACGGATAGCGTAACCGACTTCATTTCCGATCTTGCATCCCATTTCCTCTGACACACGTTGAGCAACGGACATAGCTGCCACTCTCCTAGGTTGGGTAACTCCAATTTTCATACCATCTTTAGTATACCCTGCTTCATGGAGATACTGTGGTAACTGAGTAGTTTTACCAGATCCTGTCTCACCAACAAGGATAATGGTTTGGAACTGATCAAGAGCAGCCAAAAATTCGTCCTTATAAGCATAGATTGGAAGATTTTTCCTCGTCTCCTCAATTGTCTTCGCTTTCTGCTCGGCAGCCTTCAATTGTTCACCTAAAAATCTTGCTTCTTTATCCATGCCTTGTCCCGGTAATTTCGAATCCATGATCCACTTGATCCCTTGCTCCTCGTCCAAAATGTAATCATATTCGCCCTGGTCGACTCGTTCGGTGCTTTGAATCTGGTTTCTGGCGAGTTTTTCTTGTTGCCTATCCCATTCTTCATGCTCGGAAACAAATTTCTCCTGACCATATTCATCTCTTTCGACGTAGCGTTTGTATAGTGCATCTTGTTTCTTCTTTTGATCGAGCTTTCCTTTCTCTGTGATATAATCGTCTGGCATAGCGTAGCCATCTCGGTGATCATCAATTCTTGATCTTTCGTCGGCAAGTCGAAGAAGCTCTCTATTCTTGGCAAACTCTGCTTTCTCCTTCTTTGATAAATTGGAATAAGGGTCATTAAGCTCCCTCGTTTCGTCCTCAACCTGTCTCCTCAGCAAAGCAAGACGCTCCGCTTCACGCTTCTTCAAATATTCTTGCCTCGACCTTTCCCTGAGATCTGGCATTGCAGCACGTCTTGCAGCAGCATCGTCGGCCAATGCTCTTCTCTGTGCCATGATAGGGTCGGATCTATCCTCGAGTATTGTCTTCGATTTGTCGGAATTCTTCGACAAAAGTCTCTGCGCGAAAGCATCTTTCTCTGCTTGATCTCTCCTTCGTTCTTTTTCTGAATCCGAGATATCGTCGTCTGAATGTACTGTTTTAACCCGTTTCGAGGCAGGCTCCTGAAATTCTGGTTCGTCCTCGGAAATATATTCTTCGTCGCCCCATCGTCCCTCATAATCATCATTCGCCTTATTTCGGATGGTTTTTGAGCGCTGCTCTGTATCTCTACGCGGGGACCTCTCTCGACGAGGTGACTTTTCTCGGTGTCTGTCGCGCCGCGAGGAGCTTTCGCGGTGTGACTTTTTCTCCTTCCTCTTTGCTACCACTTTTGCTGGACCTATTTCCTCTTCCTCCATAGGAAGAAGCGCGTACTTTTTAGAAGCCATGCTATTTCAATGTATTTGAGATCTCTTGATAAATAAAAGCGGTTTGAATCAAGTGAGACGGGCGACTTTCGTATGCTTTCGTCGACTATTGAATAACATTATAATAAAAGTCGCAGCCTCGCGACATGCACGATGTGATTGCTTGTAGCTCAAATAAGTGGGACGCAAAGACAGCCGATAATTACCCGACCATTCAATATGGCATTTTTGAACCTCACTTCAATGATCGAATTTGATGCCATGTGACGGAATGGGATGAACAACAATTGAAACTAAAACAAGTGAAGCGGAAAAGAAGGAAAAATACTGGGCAAAATGAACCGCACTTCGATGAGTCTCTTGAGGAGCTCAAAATACCTGGCAAGGAATGGCGCATCCATATCGCAACGACGATTTGCATCCTCAGAAACTCCTTCACCTACTGTAAGCCGTCCGATTATTCTCAGTAGATGCATATTTTCAGTTCACATACTTTTGCCAATTTGATTCTACGTTAGAGCTAATACCTACCAAGCGCACCTTCTACAAAACTTTCACTCGCCCTATCGCAAAAACTCTCCTGATGGCAACTTTCATATATCAATTGACCTATTGGGGCTGGGTGAAATTGGAGAAAGATGAATTGAAAGCAGGCAAACGTAGGGAAATAAAGGAACTCGAGGAGGAATTGGAGAAAATTAGCGGAGGCGCTATCAAGGGCGAAGATGTGAAAGTCAAAGGTATCTAAGGCGAGATGGTAATACCTATGCGCGGGGACGAAGCACACAATCACATAGTCACTTGAAGAACTATGCAGAGTAAAAATGAGGATGGAGGACTCTTGCGACCAAATAAAGTCGCTCTCATGATCTGGTGATGGTGGCTACTAGTCTCGAATATTCAGTCGCTGTCGCTGTACCGCGACGGCTTTCAGATGAGGTATCGTTTGCGACATACCCACCAGGTTCATGCTCGATTTTGTGCAAATCGAAATTGGAACATAGATAAACATTTTCTTTGTGCGCGGCCTTCCTGGAAACCGGTTGACTATCATTACGAAGAAATGAGCTCCAAAATATGAACACGACAAATATACCAAATTATGATAACCATCGACGTGCCTGCTTGCTCAAATTGCATCTTGATGTTTTGCCGGGGACGTTTTGCGCTTCGTACCGTGCATGATGTTGAAGTCTCATCGAAGTCGATCATAAGTCAGTCATTGAACATTGTATTAAAATTCACCAAAAGTTTCATGCGACGATTCTTTCATCACTTCCCTACTATTATCATCTACACCTCCGACTCAAAAGTTTAGCAAAAAATTGTATCAAGTGTAGCAAACACACTTTCTCTTCTCTGTAATGAAATTTCTACTTACTTTGTCTAACCCCAATGGCTCAGGACTGCCTCCTCTTTTTAAATAAATGTATTGAACCAATGATGTAATGTGAAGGAAGGAGTGGGCATTGATATGAGTAAAGAAATTGGGTAGGGAAGGAAAGCAATCGAGTTACGTCTCACGATTCATAGATATCACATTGATGACAGCACGTGGTCACCGCATCTTGCCCGAATAATCTTTTTTTTTCTATATAATTGTCAGCAGAAACTCAGAACGGGGACTTGCCAAGAGAGCCAGAGAAGAGAGAGTATGTTTGCTTGTTTTGATGCGGGTCAGGGCTTGTGCGGTTATTTGTTTGAGAGATTGGGTACGGCAGTGAATCAATGGTGAATTGGTGGATGGACGAGAAGTGCGTAGTTGGGAAGCGAATAATTTTTGGACGGGGGCGGTGAAGTCGGGGTGAAGTGATTTGTATGTACGAATGAGCGACGGACAGAAAGTTTGGCTCATTAGAGTACGAGGTTATGATCTTTCGATTGATAAACAAAGATTGTTTATATGCCATTCATGACATCCCGAGCTTCGCATGAAACTAATAAGCTTCCTTCACCAAAGATAGCGTTGCATACCTAGTAGTGCATTTATCGATGTTTATATTTACAATGATACCACATATCTATACCATTGAGAGTTGTGTAGAAGCAAGAGTAGTATATGACGTAGCTAAATTTAAGATGTGAAGAATTAAGTGGAAATAGTTTTGAACAATCGTATTACACTTTTCCAAAAAATGGTATCTATCTAGCCGTCTATCACTTTGGCATATGTGGAATATCACAATATCAACCAACTCCCACTTATTTTTTGTATAAACCTTAACCGTGTTCGATTTAAGCACCCTTCCATTTTCCGAATCGAGCCCAATCTCTATACAAAGTTCCCCAAACTGCTCTAGCACTGGAATCCAGCCCATCAACCACAGCCTTGCGACCTTCCATATCTGTACATCCAAATATTGCATACAGCCCAGGTGTCATAACAGTTCTAACCTCTGACTTCATTGTCATTTCGAGGTTGAATTTTATGTATGTCTGAAGTATGATGTGCATATGCTGGCCGGCGATCTTTTTGGCTTTGGCGACAGCAGATGTGAGATTATTCACGGATGAATGAGAAATGGAATTAGGTGTAGGGTCGCAGATCAGGGTGAGAAGACGAGTAAAAGATTCGGCAGCTATTGGGGAGAGAGTATTCGAGGAAGATGAAGTGATACCTGGTTGAAAATGTGGGAGCCAGGGAGGCGGGGTAAATGCCTGAAGAAGTCTCTTAGAGGTGTGCGAGTGAGCTGTAAAGAGGCAGCGGAGAAGAGGTTGTAGAACTTGGATGACAGAATGAAGATGGCCCTCAAGACGGAAGCGGTGGTTAGTAAGAACGACCTTCATTAACGTACACAGACGAATGAAGATATTGCTCGCTTGTGAAGTGGGAAGAGAAGGTCCTTTGCTAGAGCATATTATCGCAACTATTGCAAGAGTACGATCAATAGACCATTGGGAGAGAGCACGACGCTACAGATTTATTAGCTACATCTGGGGAAGGTGGTGGAATGAAGATTCTTACTTTTGTTTTCAACATCATCTCCATAATTTCCCCTAGCAAAGCAAATACTCGATATGAATTGGTCTTGATAATCTGCGAGCAAAACAGCTCGTATGCTAGACAAAGATCCATTGATCCTTGGGAATTATTTGCATCAACAGGCTCGTGTCCGATATCTATGAAGTGTCAGCTATAATCTGCAGGAAGTGAAAGCACAGTAGACATACTATCGCAGGCGCAAATAACATATTTGACAGCTACCAACTTGTCCAGTTGAGTCAAACCAATCAGTTCTTCGCCCACTAAACGCTGAACCAGCTGTAATTTTTCCGCGTTGTCCATTTCTGAGATAATTGTCTCCATCTTTTTCTTTATGCCAGCCCTACCGGCAGATGTATTAATAAAAGCCTCTAAAGACATATGCAGGATTCCATCTTCGTTGCTCGACGCATGAGTAGCAAAGAATTCCGGCAACAGTTGGCGTACATCATCCACTTCTGGTTTTCCTTCATTCAGCTTGGCAATATATAGTTGACCTTCTGTTGCGAGAGGTTCAATCTCTGATGATTCCACGCCCAGAGATTCCAGAGCCTGAAGAATAACAACAACTGACAATGAGCCATCTTTATGATTCCCAACCTCATCTATCTTAGGTTTCTTTTTCAGTCGCCTTTGCAGTTGAACGAGGAGAAATTCTCTGAAGGATGTGCAATGGTTAGTCAAATCTTGGTTGCTGACAATAGCTAGATCATTAAGTTGCTTCGATTTAGTTGTAAGAACAGTAAGTAATGAGTGTGATGTGGAAATGAAAGGCAAAGTCTTCTCGCCCTTGGTCTTCTTCTCGTCGCCAGTAAATTTCGAGAGTTTATCTTGGAAACAACTTATGGCATCTAAGATGTAATTGCGATTTTGAGACTGATCCAAGTTACTAGTCACATGTCTAATAAAGATCAGTAAAGAAATAGCCGGTATGATATCAGCATGGATGATACGTACGACAAAGTCAACTTAACAAGCTCTCTCAGTGTAATAAGAGTTTCCAATCGCTTAGGCATCTCCTCGAACCCGACTTTCTTGATTAATTTCTCAATCTCTTCGAAATCCTTGTATTTCATGCCCTTGTATTGAATTAGCAACGTCTAAAATTTTGCTGATTCTACTAACTGTGTGAAATGTAGGGCGATGCATGATCTTCAGTTTCAATGCTAGCACAGCGGGATAACACTCAGGGGACTGTGCCAAGATATCTGTTGACCAACTCTGCATAATCCGTTCTCTGTACTTCTTGCTCATCACTTCCAATGGAAGTCTTGTTAGAGATTCGATGACAGCATAATTACATGTAAGAGTAGCAGTGAGAGGATTTTCTTCTTGAGTTTGACAGCTCAGTAGGACATCGATAAATCGACTTATGATGCTAGAATGGTTGAGTACACAATCTTGACGCAAAACTCCGAACCACAAAGAGGCGAATGCTTCATAATTCCATACATGCTCAGTTGTAGCGTCCTTAGTCAAAGAAGCTATCCAGAGGATATTTCTTAACAGCAAATCGAATGCATTGTCTTGTAACTTTATGCCAAGTTCTAGAACACGGGGATATTCTTGAAAGAGGCAACTGTAAAATGACCATGCAGTCCATTGGGCGCCTCGTGATAATGTGTTGAGGCGAATAGGCCACTTTTCAGTATTTGTCACTTTTTGATCAATCAAAGCACCAATAGAAGGACCTAGTTGTTCAAGACAACGCAAAACCACTGGTGATGAAAGACTTTCCAATTTAGTTCCAACTTCGGCCGCATTCCATGCTGAGCATGCACATCGAAAGATTTCCAAATTATCCAATCCTTTCTGACCGAAAGTATGGGCCGAAAATATGGTAAAAGGGCTCGCTTGCTGCTCCCATAATTCAGCAATTTCTTCCAGATGAAGAGGTTGCATCCAATTGAAGGATCGAGTCAAAACCCTCCAAGCTCGCCAGCTATATCTGTCATTCAATTTGCCAAGATTCCCGTTATCAAAGGTGACATGGTACAAACGTGTTCCGATGATATCTACGACATCTTCTCTGGAAATTGAATTCGCAATAGCTTCAAGAATGGTAACAACAGCGTTAGGTTGGTTTACGATCTCGATGGCTAGCCAATCAACTAAATGTACTATTTGTTGAACAGTTAAGGAACTTTCCAAAAGCTTAGAAAGCTCGATCTGTAGGGCTTCATCCTCCCAAGCACAAAAGGTATCCGCCGGGAACATTGCATCTTCATTTCGTGTTTGCTCAAAATTAACAAGCTGAGAGTACCAGTGGCGCACAAATCCAGAGAGATCACGAGCTTTGGCAAATTCATCCATCAAAGGAACGACAATCTCGGATACAATATGTCGAGATTGATCGGGCCATGTAGATTCGAAATAGACGTTAGTAACTCGCTCCAATACATCGTTCAATAGATTCGTGTCGCTATCGGCGATGAGGAAGACATTGGCATCGAGTTTCATCACTGTTTCTAGAAGGTACCAATCCGTGCTTCCCTCAGGTATAACATACTCCGCCGTTAAACTTTTGAGTTCTGGGAGGCCGAGATCCACTTCGTGTTGAATGGAGCGCTGAAGTATTTCGCGAATGGCAGAATTATGCGCTGCTGTTTTAGTTGGGGGCATGGCAGCTTTTAATGTTGTGAATACTGTCTGAAGCCAGGCATTATCTGATGGTCGTCTTCGGCGGTCTCCATTAGACTGCAAAGACCGAATCGCAATGTCAAAAAGAATAGGCGCATTTGCGACATCTTGCAGAACTAGGACTCTCGTCAAACTCTGTAACAACGTAGAATCTTGCTTTTCTCCGGCGCTCGCTTTTGAAGGAATGATGATATTTCGAGCAATCAATTTCTCCAAAATATCCTTCCAATCCTGTGTGGCTGAATCTACCTTCGTCACTTTTAACAACGCTAGTAAGGGTTCTGAGCAGTGAAGAGAAAATTGCATAAGATCTTCAGTTCCTGCCACGCGGTAGTCCCAGATGTCGACAAATGGGGACATCAATTGGGACGATATAACCAGACCAGCTCTTTGACTTAAAACCATCTGGCAAAGAGACATCCAGGAACCTAGAACCATGGCGGACGCTTCAGGCGTGGTTCGTACGACCGCTCGCATATACTCCGTGGTAAAGGCTGGACTTCTGCCATTCCCTGCTGTTCTTTGGGAGGAAGAGACTTTGGTAGATCGAACGATACTATTGATAGCAGCGTGAATCGCCATAACTAAAGCTCGAAGGCCCTTGGCAGGACCATGATACGTATGGGTGACTAGTTCCCCGGTCCGTTTGCGCTTCTTCGAGATAATCGATGTTTCCCCTGAGTCCGACCCTGAAGGTGAATCATTGTGTGCCTCTATGCTAGATTCGTCAATGTCGCTGATCTCTTGTGCTTCCTGTAATGTCTGTTGTAGGGTTACGATAAACTTTTTTTCGGTGAGCATGCGTGCAGTATTCGCTAGCGGAATCGCATTCAACAATAAACGGAACAGGTGCCATGATGACGGCGTGGTTCTAGGGGAGCATTATAAGCTTATGATCTTCAATCCAAAATGTAATAAGCAATATACCTGGCAGTTTTATCCTTGGGAGACTGCAATTTCTTCAAAAGCCACCGTAGAAGCCATTCCTCTCTTCCATGAAACGAGCCTGCCGCACACTTCTTCTTGAAGACTTTCTCTTCGTATTTTTGATTATCCAGAACAGTAGCGACCTTATCCAAATCAATATCAACAAATTTTCCAGCTTCACGAATTTGTTCCTCGAACGGTGCCGATGCTTTCTCCAGCCCAGCAAGCTTTTCTTGCGCAATTCGAGATTTTGAATCCTATGCAATTATTAGAACAAGTCTCAATATCAAGATACCTATGCGACCACAAAATCACTTACCATTATTCAAAACTCTCATTGACAATTTGAATTGGTCAAATTCCCCTCCCTCGTCAATAGCTGAACTTTTTTTTGGAAGCCGTTAAATCAAAAGCTGTAAGTGGCATAGTCCTATGACAAAATATGTTACCGCCTTCTCAATCAATGCTAGCGCGTGCACGGATAATTATCTTGACAGAATAAATTTTCCATCTTTACTACAACTTCGTTCCTTCCTTGCACAAAACCACAATACAATTTTAAACGTTGCTCATTGCTAAATATGTCTCAAGACGAGATTCCACCAAGCAATGAAGGTACTGTTGCTGTCGAGGATATCTCAGCCTTGACTATCCAGGATCCTGAATCATCCGTGGCTAATGATCGTCCCGAACTTCCCCATCGGTCTCACAATCCCGAAAACAACATGAAGAGATCAGATCCGTTTCAATTTGGTTCTCGATATCTCAGTGAAAAAGACAACGTCTTCGAATTCAATGCATGGGATCATGTCGAGACTGATGATACTTACAAGGAGTATGCAGAACTACAATATGCGAAGCAGCGCGAAGCTCCTGTATCGGAATTTGATAAAAGTATGTATTTTTCGCTTTCTCTTTTCCCAGAATACTGTGCCAATTTTCGGTACAGTGCTACTATGACGATAAATCATAATTCATCTGAGGTTACTAGCCTCTGAATGATACAAATATAGCAATGTCTTTCGCTCCTATCTGACTGTAGTTTAATATCTGAACTTTTTTGAACTTTTGTTTCTACCAAAAACTAACAGATTTTCCAAGGCAGATTCAATTCCGATCCCGCCAAATGGTGGAACAACTTTTACAAAAACAATACTGCCAATTTCTTCAAAGATCGAAAGTGGCTCCAACAAGAATTCCCCATTCTTTCTCAAGTGACAGAGCCAACCTATGGACCTTGTACCATTCTGGAAGTTGGTGCTGGCGCAGGTAATACTGCTTATCCAATATTAAAACATAATCAAAATCCTGAATTAAAAATCCATGCTTGCGATTTCTCCAAGAAAGCAGTGGAAGTGATACGTGCGAACGAGGCATATGACACCAAGAATATCCAAGCAGATGTGTGGGACGCTGCTGGCGATGACCTTCCCCCTGGATTGGAAGAGGGTAGTGTTGATGTTGTGATCATGATCTTTATCTTCTCTGCACTTTCTCCTAGTCAATGGAATCGAGCCGTTCAAAATGTCTTCAAAATCCTCAAACCAGGTGGCGATGTGCTATTTCGAGATTACGGCCGTGGTGATCTTGCTCAAGTGCGTTTCAAAAAAGGTCGTTACCTAGAGGAGAACTTCTATATCAGAGGTGACGGAACTCGGGTATATTTCTTTGAAAAAGACGAGTTAGTCAACATCTGGACCGGTAAACTTCCTGAGTCAGATGCTCAGGCTACAGATTCAACGACAGAGCAACAGGGTGGCTTCGATATCATTGATCTAGGTGTTGATAGAAGGTTACTGGTTAATAGAGCCAAAGAACTAAAGATGTATAGATGCTGGATGCAAGGCCGATTCAAGAAGAAGAGCTTGCCGAGCACCGATTCAAAATAAAAAAATTGTCCATGACACACTGCATTGATTTTTGTTCGTTATGTCTTGAGAGTGGTGTCAACTGTAACCTGAAAAATTCTCGCCGCAACTCCGTGGGGCTTCCTATTTAGATCTTCTTGGACATATTGAGATTTGGTTCTCAAATCTCTTGGTTCACATCAGACTTAGAAATCCGTTACCTCCATACGGCTCTTCTCCTGCATGTACTCACAACTCTTCCATTCTTTGTTTGGACAACCTTCACAAGATCTGTAATCGTGACTCCACGTCCAATAAATTTGAGTAATCAATAGAGGTGACCGGTGTAGATCTAGAGTAGCATTTTGATTTCATCATTTGATTCATTGATGGACGTATTAATAAGTATTTCTTAAATCATCCGCATGTTGCTGAAAGCCATGCTATAGGGAGGCTTGAGAGACGGTACTGTTTATATGGTTTTAAAACTGGGTTAGAGTTGGTGTTCACAACGCTGTATTGAATGGAAATACAATGCTAGCTGAAATTGCCCTGACTAAGTGGTATATTCGTTCATCTGATATGTTTCGGGGGTTATGTACCAGTGTAAGAAATTGATCCGCATTGTGGCAATATTCATACGTTTCAATACTCAGAACCTCGTCACTTTTTTGAAGAACATTCCCCGCAGAACCTGAAATAGGAAGACGAAACGATTGATAAGATTGGCTTTAGGCTGTCACCCTAAATCTCTCATCACTTCTTGAGGGAACATACCTTGCCACACCTCTGGACTCTTTCTTTGGATTATTACATACCAATCAACGATGATGCAACTAAAAAGAAAACAACCTGTAGCAGCTCGCAGGTCAGCCAGACTAGCTAAGAAGCGTCGAACTAATAAGTTGGAGGAAGATGGACAGACACCGCAGCAAGATATCGAAGAGCCAGAGGTTAAGGCAGAGCCCGAGTCAGAGGATGAAACATCACTTGCCGGTAAGTTATAATACCCACCATTTCTTAGAAGATGATCTAATATCGCTGTTAGTTACGCCCAGAATTAAGGTCGACGACGGACGTGATGATGGCGCCGATGCAGATGACGAAGCTGAAGACATCCAGGGAGGAGGCGACGTGGATGAACGACCCGGATCTTTTGAGAGTGAACCGGAGGTAAATACCCCTGATGATGAAACGGATTATGACCAGTACATAGTGTACGAATCTGACGATCCTGAGTATCAAGAAATACGACGCAAACGTGGTAAGCCTTATTCTCGATCCCGTGTATAATCAAGCTAATATGGTGCACGCAGAGATACAGGTATCACCATTGCCCAACCTACCGCGAATTCCTCGATTAATCACAACACTTCGTGGTAATAGCATAGATACTCCGGATCAACGCCTCACAGCAAGTTCTGGAACTAACAGGCTCCCAAACTTTCTCGATAAATACGGAACCCGGCATCATATCCCCATCGAGATCTTCAAGCAAATATTAGACTACCTGTATCAACAGAAAGATGACATTACCGCTACTTCAGTATCCCTCACCAATGTTTTTAATTACGGACTTGTCTTCGATGTTTTTGGACTCGGTCTGCGTAAGAGAATCAAGGATTTGCTACAGTTTCGACCAGTGGAATCATGGGAAACAGGTTTTTTTGATCTCCCATTTCTTTCTGCGCCATCCTCGAGGCCCACAGTTTGCCTTCGACATGTTCTTCATTCCTGGTTTCCAGAACGACTCACATGGATTCAGTATGGCAAAAAACGTACGTATCATGGTCCGATCTCCCTCAAGCTTATAAAAAGACATATAAGAAGAACTAAGGCGGAAGGACGACGGATGGCGCTTAAGGAACATAAAACACGACTTAGACAAGGTCGGGAGAATAAGTTGGAAAGGCAGAGAGACAGAAAAGAGCGTATCGAAAATAGACGCAACAGAAGAATTGCCAGGTTGTCAGAAATAAGGGAAGCACATGCGGAGGACTCAGAATTCTCAGATGATCATGATTGCGTTGAGAGTCAATGTGCTCTTAATCCCGAAACGGCTCACAAGAAAATACATTATATCTCCTCCGGGCGCGATCCGGTTACAGATTCCGAGGCAACGAATTCTTTTGTCGAAGACTCGGATGATGTAGGATGGGCGACTGAGGACTCAATGCTAGCAGCATAGTTTATTCAAGAATATGAGCTAAATGTCTGCAGTCGCAACGCTCATTCATCGTGATATCTTTCACTGTGCGATTGTTGAGCAGGCAGCGGAAAATAAGGCTGGTGTCAATTGCGATGTAAGATGGTTCTAGTCAAAAGAATGGGAAGTAGCCAGAATTATAAGTTTTACTGATTACGTGTCAAGTAGGCATTATTGATTGATTGCTAGCGATGAGTTTAGTAAAACACATTTGGGGTGGTAACTAAATAAATGGGACAGGGGTTTTCCGATCCAGTGTATAATCCCTTGTTGTTATATCCGATTATATTATCGTAAGCGAGGGGGAGAGGGGGTAAGGTTACATACGAGAGTCTTTCATTGATACTCGTGAGAGACCGCAGTGAATCAAATTGAGGAGAGCTGGAGACTTTGTTTTCATTAGCAAATAGGGTTATTGCGGACTGCATTTTCATTTCCAAAAGCCTCGAGTTGTTTTATTTACCAGCTACAACTTGATGCACATCTCGAGTAAAGATTGTGCATAAAGAGTTTGTTGCTTTTCGTGAACAAAGACAGAATTGTCTACTCGCAAAATCTTTATTCTGTGCTAGTTGACAGTCCCCGCAAATGTATTAGTGTCGTGAACTTGCTGCCCAAACAAAGGGGAATTGACCATTCGGCATTATAAGAACTTATTTTCATGAGAAACAAATCGTAATGTAGCAAGTAACTTCTGTTCTCTACAACATTCTTTTCATTTGTATAATCGATATATAACACCCGTAACGATGGGCCACGAACTTCGTGAACATATACCAGTCCTTAATGTGCAGCCAATCTTCCACCTGATCGAAGCGGAAATCCTAGATCTTTCATATGAGGCATTGGTACTGCAGGTTGATGGTAATGTGAGATTGGATAAAACAGCAAGAGACCCTGATGCCTGGAGAGCTCGTATTGGTGATGAAGTGGTGGGCGGTCCTGATGGCGACCCTCCTGGTCAAATAGCAACTAAACTGGCAACGCAACCAACCGGTCCTGAGCTAAGAGATAGGTGCACAATGTCTCTATGTGGTGCGTAGAATTCACGGGTACTTGCTAAGGCTTTTAAATAGTAAATAATGTTTACATGTGTATAGGAGAATTGGGGACGCTTGGAGCCCCTGGAGCAATGCCGAAAATGATACTAGCGGTTAGAGTTGATGAACCTCATGATAACACACTTCAACCCCCTCCGCTTGGAATTGCAGTTGGAAAGGAGAATAATGATCACTTTTTGAGGAGAGGAGTTTCTCATATAATGTCGCGCGCAATGAACATCAGAAGGGGAATTCCTAGCAATTTTGATCCCAACGATGAGGATCAAGTCAATGAAAACGAATGGCAAATGAGTACACCTCTATCTATTGCATTTCCTCTGATAGGATGCAGAACTGGGTACGGATATATTAACGCAGCCGAGTAAGTTTTGATTTTCTACGCAATGTAATGGCTTTGGTTTCAGTTGTGCTTTGTCAACCTTTTTTCGCTTTGGCATCTCTTCACAATACATCCTGTTGAGTTCCCGCAACTGCTTGATCCCCTCTTGTGGGTAATTGCTGACTTCTCTTCTTTCAGAAATATCCTGAGCGCAATCATTGGATGGTATCACGATCCAAGATACACCCCACAGTTTGGTAACGCTGCAATGCGCGCTTTCAGCATTCCAGATATATATCTTGTCATTCCCCCAAGAACCTCTGTGAATGTACGCACTCTCAAGCCTGCATTGATTCGATCTGCCTGGGAAAAGGCATGGGAGTAAGTAATTCTCCTTCATGTTTCTACTGTACTCTGTTTTACAAACCACACGATGTCATATGATACAGGTATTGACTGTCTTATCTATAGTCGATATTTGCCACCTGCTATTGGCATTCCACCCGTACGTTATTCTAAAGATGTCGAAGATAACCTGGCCGATCAGGTTCGACAACACGCGACCAACTATTGGAAACCAGGTCTTGGTCAGGTGTTATTGATTGATGGTGTGGATGATGCGGCAGGAGGATTTCCATTAAACCTCACCCCGTGGGTACCAGAGACCATCACTGCTTCCTGGATCAGACGTAATTGTAGAGTTCTTAGAGGAGGCAGAATAAAGAGATTGACTACAATTTGAATTTGACGTAACTTTGAAGGGGGAAGGGAGGATGGAAAAGCGTAGACTAGATGGAATTGTTGGATTATGATTGATTTTAAAAATATAGCATTGATTATTGCAAACTTCCCATCTCTAGATGTCGTTCAAAATGCCCATCTTACATATGACTTATAATAAGAATGAAAGATTGTCACTCGAAGCCCATTTGTATCACGGGCAAGGAAGGATGTACCACGAAAAACAAGTTCCACATAACAGCCACATGCTGCAATGTAAATGAAAGACTCTATAAACGATACGATTGTGAAGCTGGTTGCGTCCTCGTTTAATAACTCTCAACAAATCTTATATATAGGGTTCAATATTAAAGCCAGTTAATAGCAGGAACCCCAAAAGTCTGGACTGAAAGTCTGACAACGAAAGATGCTGATCCCCCAAGACGATTAAAGTGTTCAGGCAATTTGCAACAACAAATTCCTTTCGCAATTCGAATAAATTTCAGAAAATGGCAGTGATGAAGGGTCACATATGGTCTACTAGCCCAGATGATTCAACAAACCTGATTCTAAATAGAACAAGATGACGATATCAATTGCAGTGCGCATAATCGTTGGGCGTCTAGCTATGGCCTACATAGATTTATCACGATGATATACATTCATGATACAAACATCACCAAGTCAATTTATCCTGACCATCCACCGATGCTTAACTAGAGCTCTCGTCCATTAAGACAGACTTCCCACCTGATTTGACATTGACCCCCACTGCTGCTAACATTGCGACAAAATGGGCATGCTCGTATAAGGTTACCTTATCAGAAGCCTATTTTTAATTTCGATTCCAATCCTGGTTTCAACAAAGAAAACCACACTATTCAACCAATCCCTTTGAACATACCAGTTCTGACAATAACGTTGGAACTATGCACTGATCAGGTGACCAGTTATAAATACATGAATACAAAGCTGCCCCTGGTTCTGCAATCTGCTGACCATAAGCGAACCATTCCCCTTGGCTTCGGGGTTTATCTAAACCCCGCCGAATCTGCATATAGGAAATAAGCCAAAGCGAACATGCAAAAAGTCGTTCCTTGCACGAAATTTGTTCTCACATTTCCTTTTTTGGATGCAAAAGAGCGAGGAATGTGAAATGAAGTAGGGATTAAGAGCTTGTTTTTATCAATGATTGCTATGCTGATGACCTTCCACCAATACTATCTGGGTGGCGTCAAGACGATTCAATCCGTGGTATGCATGAAGATGTTTGAGAGTCTAGGCAGATATGACGCAAATATATTATCATCCATTCATTGAGACATGGAGATGTCAGATTTGAACATTCCGTATATTATGAGAGTAATTATAAAAAGGTAACATTCCCTCGACTTCAAATGCTGCAGTTTGCTACAGCTTTAACAACATCAAGATCACCAAGCGCCAAGCACAACAACTTAGAACATGACTTACAAAAACTCCATTATCGTCACTGGTGGGACCATTAACTTAGGTTACCAAGCTGCTCTTAAGATAGCAAAAGAACATCCAGACTACCTCATCGTCATTGCCTCCCGGTCCGATAAAGAAAACTCCGCCGAATCCATCAACAAAAGTCTACATCAAGACAATACTATTTTCATGCCACTCGATCTTTCCGATTCGAAAAGCGTTCGAAGTTTTGCTGAGAAAGGGATCGCTGATTCCACGAAACCTCAAATTAAAGCTTTGGTTTTGAACGCCGGTCTTCAATTCCCAGCCGGTCTCGTGATGACACCCGAGGGATTGGAAGCAACCTTTGCCATTGCTCATGTGGGACACGCACTTCTTTTCTTCCTCTTGTGTCCACATCTCGCGCCTGATTCCCGCGTGATTTTTACTTCGAGCGGTACACACGATCCTGCACAAAAGACTGGTATGCCTGTACCCGAATACATTACCGCAGAGGATCTCGCCCACCCTCCAGAATCCATGATCAAAATTTCAGGCCGGAAGCGTTACACCACCGCTAAGCTTTGTAACGTACTATTCGCCTACGCGCTATCGCGTAAACTCGACGAACGGGCCCCTGAGCGCGATATCACCGTTACGGCAATGGATCCTGGTCTCATGCCCGGCACTGGGTTAGCAAGAGAAGCAAACATGTTCGAGCATTGGCTTTGGAATTCTGTTCTGCCACACCTGATTTGGTTACTTCGCTTGGTTGCAATTCCAAACACACATACACCCGCAGAATCAGGTGCTGCACTTGCTAGACTTGCGACTGCTGCTGATGTTGAGGGCACGACGGGGAAGTACTTTGAAGGACTAAACGAGATCAAGTCGAGCAGGGATAGTTATGACGAGAGTAATCAAGAAGACTTATGGAATTGGACAGTCAACTATTTGGCAAAAGACGAACGGGAGAAGTTAAGATTTGAGTCACTCAAGTGAGAGAAGACATTGAAAGAAGTCATCAAAAACCCCTCTCCGTTTTCCAATCTCTAATGTAAGAATAATTCCAATAAATGCTGCAAATGTTCCGTTCCCCTAGCCAAGAAATCAGGATTCCATTATGTCTTGTGGCGGTTAAAAAGGAGTTGAGAAGATCTAGATGCGTGATTTTCACAGAGAGTCGAAAGATATACCATTGTTATTATCGATGGAAGAGGAAGGTTCTTTTGAATGGCTCGAGAATAGTGCACTGAGTGGGGCATGTCGGAGAAAATCATCATTAAGCTCCCGCTGGGCAAAATCACGACATCGCAAATTTTACCTAACAATCCTCGCAATTCCTCACCAATTTCATCTATTATTGAATGCTATGTTGGGTGAACCAATGAGAAAGAAATGAGTTACCTATAAAAATCCACTTAACCCCGAAACTTTTGACAGCTTTCGGTTCACGACGGCATGCCTAGCTTCACATCCGTCATACTATCTGGATTTGTTCTTCTTGACTTCTTGTAAAAGCTTGGATTAGTATCACGTCTTCATCTCACCATATTCATCATATTCTGATGTACAATTAAGAATCGTCTGATTCCCTTTGTAACCCTAACCTTCTTGCATTGTAACATTAGCAAAAACCTCGATATATTCCCCTTTCACGCATAATTCATAACCTTCAGTACTTGAGCCATTCAATATCGTCATAGAATTCAGGGCTTCAATAGCTTCCAAAATATCGACAGGATCCCCGTTCTTCAGAAATCAATACCAAAAACATGAGAGACTATTCGAATAACGCATCAAGTCTTCCCAAATATGGGGGTACGGATCAAGTTGGAGAGAACCCCAAGACGGGAGTTGGAACACAAAGCGATTATAGTCAAGGTACAATTAGAGAACCATCCTAATAATCGACTAGTCTTTTTTCGCTCGTAATTTCTGACTCTGAAATAGAAGAAGAGGAATCCGCATACCAAACTAATGATGCGCGCCGTCAAATTGGTCCAATTTCAGCCATTTTCTTGATCTTCAATCGCATGATCGGAACCGGAATTTTTTCGACTCCAAGTACCATTGTTGCTCTTTCCGGATCTGTCGGACTGGCACTCTTTATCTGGGTTGCAGGTATGCTGATTGCCGCAGCTGGTCTCGCGACGTATATGGAATTTGGTACCGGACTTCCACGAAACGGTGGCGAAAAGAACTACCTCGAATATGTTTTCCGAAGGCCCAAGTTTCTCGTCACTAGCATGTACGCTATGTATGTAGTACTACTCGGTTGGGCGGGTTCGAATTCCGTGGTATTCGGGGAGTATATTTTAAGTGCCGCCGAAGTTGAAGTAACTCGTTGGAACCAGCGTGGAGTAGGAGTGGCCTGTATCACAGCCGCTTTCTTAATTCATGGATTTTCTGTGAAGTGGGGATTGAGACTTCAAAATCTTTTGGGAGTTATAAAGCTTCTGATTCTTCTCCTGATCATCATCTCGGGGTTTGTTGCGCTTGGTGGCCATCTCAGAATCGAGAAGCCAAACAATTTTACAAATGCCTTCGAAGGAACGACTGGTAGCGCGTAAGGAAACTTCCCTCAATTCAAATATCCATCTGACTTTGTGTAGTTACGGAGTTGTCACAGCTCTCTATAACGTTATCTGGAGTTATATCGGCTATAGCAATGCCAATTATGCGCTTTCCGAAACCAAAAATCCAGTCAGAACACTCAAGATGGCTGCGCCAACAGCTCTCGCTATAGTCGGTGTGCTATATATGCTTGCAAACGTATGTTGGCGATATCGAGATTTTCCACGGAATGATACTGATGTATAGATTAGATTGCATATTTTGCCGCCGTACCAAAGGAGGAAATCATGACTTCGGGTCGTATATTGGCCGCTTCATTTTTCAAAAACATGTTCGGATCCCGCGCCGAACGTGTATTGTCTGTTTTTGTTGCCCTTTCAGCGTTCGGAAATGTTCTTAGTGTCATATTCTCTCAAGGCAGAAGTAGGTTGCTTCATATGACTTCCATCAGAATATCTTGCTAAAAATCCTTAGTTGTACAAGAAATTGCTCGAGAAGGAATATTGCCATTCTCCCGACTTTGGGCAAGTAACAAGCCTTTCAACACACCATTCATGGGCCTCTTTGAACATTGGCTGGTGTCTGTGATCATTATGTTAGCTCCACCACCAGGAGATGCTTACAACTTTATTCTGAAGTATGTCCCCATTTCCTCAAGATCTTGCTATCGTTCAACTAACACTACCCAGTGTCATCTCATACCCACTTGCGGTAGTAAATGTCTTTGTATCTCTCGCTCTGCTTATTCTTTATGCTCGACCATTTTCAGCCGATCGCCATCCACAACATTGGGCTCCACCTTTCCGTGCTACTTGGCCTGTGGTACTATTCTTCCTCCTCTCGAATGTCTACCTTGTCGTTGCACCATTTGTTCCACCTGATGAGGGACAAAATGTTTATAAGAGTCTGCCATACTACCTTCATTGTGTTGTGGGCATTGCATTCTTCGGTGCAGGAGCTATTTACTGGTTAATTTGGGCTCAGATATTACCCAGAATTGGTGGATATAAACTT